GGTGTTCCCGGACTCAGGAACCGACCTGTACAGCCAGGTCTCACCACCTTGACTTTAAGGACATCTAAAGTTTAATAAGAGGAACTGGAACCTCTGGCTCCCAAAGGTATTTGTTGGGTTTTTTCTACTCTCAACAAGGTAGCACCATGGCGCAAGTGTGAATCAGGACATGGAAATTTTCAGTACCTGCACTTGTACTCATGATGAGGAAAATTTCAGAAAAACCAGAGAAGTAAAGAAGTCTCTAATTTCTTTACAGGAAACCCTGAGTGCCCCAGTGTGCATCTTCAGGGTTACACAGATCTCAGGAGATGGACAGGGAAGTGAGTGTTTATTTAAATTAACTAAAAGGCATTAAATGTAAGACCCGAATTGCCATAAACTAAGTCAGAAAATATAGTGCTCTCATTTTACACAGGAGAAAACACGCTATGCTGTCTCATGCAAGCTCCACACATAAGCTCCTCAGCCAGGACCTGTCACAGCAACTGTGGAAATCTCAAGCAGTTGTAGAGTTGTGCCCTTACCCTGTGCCAGGGGAATGTCCTACTTGTCTCTACCTGTGGACAATTCTGTGTTTTCAGTATTCCCCAGCAATACTGTCTGGTAGATTGGATTGATGGGCAACAAATGGTATGACTGTGGCCAGTACAGGGCAAAGAAGGGCACACGTAGCAGCAATCACTTAAGGGCATGACCATTTCATGAACTCGATCCAAAGACTGAGTGTATAAAACTCACTGTCGTGTAAATTTGCAAAGTGTCTGTTCTGTATAAACAGCCTTCACCACCCCTGCATTTTCTACTTGCAACATTTCAGATGTAATTCTAAGTTGTCAGCAATGTATCTAATATGATTCTCAGACTGAGCACCAAGAGAGACAGGTAAAAGCCTCTTCCTTTTATTTTAATTCTACTTCTGATGAAAGTAACAGAAAAAACATATTAAATTATTTAAGAACAGAGTTAATCATCTTCAGTTCTGTTCTGTGAACTTCCAGGAGACACTAAACACAAATTTAATACTGTAACATGAGGCACTCTTTCTCATCATTAGTATTCGAAGAGTTAATTTTGTTTTATATCAATGATTTGATTTCTTTTTTTTATTATTGAAATTTACTTATTATGGAACCTGAGAGAGAAAGATTAGTCAGGCGTTTTGCCTGAGTAAGAAGTACAATGTTTGGCTCAGTCTCTAACTTCTGTAAATGAGAAGTTGGCTTGTTTTTTCACAGACATATGTAACATTCTGTTTGTAACAAAAACAGTTTCAAAAAAAAGGAAATAATATTGAAGGGAAAAGAAAGAGCTTGAATTTCCAGTGGTGTACTTTCAGGCGTTTGCATTAATACTTAATACTTTCAGCTCTGCACTCCCAAGAATCCATAAACAAGATAACTGGCTCCTTTATGAAAGAATAACATGGGTCTAAAAGATTATATAATGAGATGCGGCTTCTTTTGCAAAAATTACTAAAACCCTAATTGCTAACATGGTGTGTGCCCTTAAGGAATGCACATATTTAAACGCATTAATTACAATGTGTTGACTGTATTATCTAAGAAATTGATTTATTTTTTTATCCTTCAGAAGATGCTAATCAGGTCCTCTGGCAGATTTCTTTGAGAGTGTAATTCCCAAGGTTTTAAGCTTTAATTTAAAATAAATTCTGAGAAGCAAATTTTATTCTCTTATTTTCTTTTTTTTTCTTGATATTATACTTCCTCCTGTGCTCCGCAATCCGTTCCAGAGATGAACTTCCCATTTTTCTAAGTCCTGTTTGGAGATTTAAGGCACAAAATCCTTTCTAAGCAAACACACTGATAAACTTCACATTAATTACTTTTGTGATGGTAAGATTCTCAGTGAATTACTCAAGTACACTGGTGAACAGGGTTGAATTTTAACACTGGCAGTATGAATACATTTTCTTTTTATATTTGGGAAAGTCATCTCTTGACATAAAGCTTCATACAGATCTGCCCAGCATCGAGTGGTCAGCTCTGAGCTACAAGGACAGATTTGTGTGAACATAAGGACTTCAATGCTGCTGGTGAACAATAGTTCCAATAACATGTGTTTGCAATTAGTCCCTTATTTTTTTTTATTGCAAAAATGTATGAATGAAAGAGATAATTATCTGTGTTTATTTTGGTCATCATGTCTGGATTGGTCTATCTAAGACTTCTCATCCTTTTTTTCTGACCCATGTAGACAGATCAGAAGGAATGCCGGTATCTGAACAACTATTGCATGAATTGCACCTGTAAGATAGGGGGAAAATTAATTAATTTAGCCTGTTACACTTTTCAGAACTGTTGCAATTTGGCTTCATTTCATATCTTTATTCCCTGAGTTTTGCCTCAGACCTGCTCTGAATTCTGCCCAAAATTTCAACATCCAAGAATAACCAGAAATAACTTAGAAATCCACTGATTATTAATGTTAATTTTTATTGATTTTGTTAATTATCTGAAAATCATGCTTTAAGTTCATTGAAGAACTTCCACAGCTTTCCATTCTCCAAGAAACTTAGCCTTAATGGGAAGGGACATTGGGAGATTTGCCACAGAAAGGGAAGTTTGCCTCTGTCTTTCCTCCACTTCACAATGTTTTGTTTAACTCCTTTTCCTCCATTCCCAAGGTGGAAGAGGTCAGTTCATTAATCTGTGTTCAGCACATGGGAGAACTGGGTAATGATGATTTTGCCCTGTTCCCATTCATACAGATCGGGTCAGTGTGTTGGCACGCTGACTTGAACCTCACTCTCAGGTTTCCTTCATTGACAGCCCTGAAGTAGTTACTTATTTTCAGCTGCAATTGTGAGGAAAATGCCCCTTCAGATGCCAGCTGTCCTTCTGTAGTCTCACCCTGTACCTTGCACATCCTTCTTCAGAGCAGCATGGCCAAAATGGGTTTGAAGTCAATGGAGTTATTTCTGCTTCAGAGCATCATGTCTGAGCTGACAATAATCCAACTATCCTCTACACCTAATGTGGCCCTAGCCAAGACCATCTTGAGCAACAGCATAAAAAACAGGATGTCCTGTGGAAGCTCTCCACCAGCAGTGTCTGCTCTCCCTCCAGCCACAGCAGCACCCACCCAACACCTCTGATTCTGGTGTAGACTTTCAGTGCTGTTTAGTGTGGGGAAAAGAGAAGGAAAAAAACCAAAAAAGGCCAAAACTTTTCTCGGTAAGTCACACTGAATACATATAGCTGAAGGAAAAGACAGGACATTGTTGATGATTAGTTAAATACAAGATGCTCACTCCTCAACAAAAACAGCATAGAAATCCCAAAGGTGACTGTGTGATATTTCAAAGTGGTTCTGCTGATGTTGTTTCTCTCAATTTGTTTTTCTCTAATCCTGAACTGAAATTTTTCTTCTACAAATTAAAAAGAATTCCTGAGCTAATGTGTTACTGAAACACTGCAAAACAACACATTCCCTCTACTTCCAGGGAACATCTTTTATCCAGAATGAAACAGTAACAAAAATAAAATTGCTTTTATGCTACTCAGAAGAGGACTTTGTTAGGCAGCCAAGAATTTTCTCTCATTATTTCATGCTGTCATTGAGCCTGACTTTTGTAATAATAATATTTTTATTACTTTGCATTAATAGGAAACACAAGCCAACACTAGCCAGATATAGCTGAGATGAATGATCACAGCTCCCAGGACTGCACACATAGCTCACAGCATCAGAGATGCCCTCATCTTCCTCAGCACAGAACACACCACTAGGGCTGCACTGAAAAGTCACCACCAGCCCATGGCACAGCTTGGCAGGAGAGCCCCTAGTGAAGAACACAAGAGTTCCCATTCCAGAAACAGATGCAGGAAATCTACAAATGGAGCTTCAGTGAAAAGGAGCAGGTTTAAGAATACAGGGTATCCAGGAGATATCACATGTGCCAGCAATCCCTCGAGAGGCTTTGCAGATTATTGTAGTGATTTCCTCCTTTCTCAGTGCTGAACCTCGTATTGCTTTCAGGATATCATGTTCATTCAGACCCTGCTGTTTTCAGCTCAGCCTTATGCCTTTCTGTCTCTTGTCACCTGCTACAAAGGCCCCATCGGTAGCTGGGTGTGTATACTTACTCTGAAGGCTTACCACCCTTCCACTTTAATCCCATCCTGTTTTGGTGTGGTCATTATTTCAGCCTGTTTACAGAGATATAATTGATGTCATTGGCTCCTGTAATGAGTTGAAGGATCTGGCAGAAGTTTCCTAGTTGTTCTTCCCTTGGTCACTCTATCTGATAAGAAGTTCCTGACACTTTCCTGTCTCAGATTTCTGTTTTCTACGTACTTCAGAAAAAAGCATTCCCTGAGGTATTTCAGGAAGTGTCTGAGAACTGAGAGAAGATTTTCTGCATTTCCTTTTTTTTATTGTATCTAAACTAGTGATATACACACTCTGTGAATGTGTTTCCTTCTTTTAAGAAAAAATGGACAGGGTCAAGGGGGGTTTGTCTCTGATCTGGCAACACCATGCTGCAAGCTTTATGGTTGGATTCATATTCCTTCCACCTAAACCACTACATTTACTGTCACCCATCCCCTGCAGTCAATTCTATTAGACTTTACAGAAAGCAGTCCTTCCTTTTTCTCTATAAGATGAAGGTTCCTACAAATACTTTGCCCATGTTTTAGACTATTTATAAACAAAAAGCCAGCAACAATTACCATCATATCCATTAAATTATTATTTTAGTAGGAAAAAATCAGGAGAAATCATGCCTTCACTGGAAAACAAAACAGTTTATCAATCCACAATCCCTTTTCCAAAGCATCCCTACAGCATTAGTTAAAGGAAACTACTGCCTCACCATAGAGTTCATGCCTTCTGCAATAAGAAGGTTAGAGAGATTTGAAAGCAGTTATGATCACATGTGTGCAAGCTCTCTGATTTCTAAGTTATGGTGTGGAAATAGCATTTGATACTCTCTGTCCACTTGTAACATTAACCTGCTCCCTGTACACTCAGACTGAAGGTTGCATTTCTCATATATCTCGTCATGCTTCCACAAGGTGAGTTACTCTCCCTAAAACTGCTCCCTGCCACATCATCTACCAGTTCACTCCATCTCACCTACTAAAATTAATTAATCTGAATCAAATATTTTTCTTAAAAGATATTATAAAAAAGTGTCCATAGCCCCACTAAAAGTGGGAAATCCCACCTGAGCTACTTGAAATAATTAATAGCTCTTGGTATGGTTAATATCTTGTGGTTGCCTGATTTCCAGTCCTCTCTCAAGAGTAAATACTTCATATAACAAGGGCCAACAAATTCTTGAGATGTTTTTACAGTAAATATGAGATTCTGAGCTGACACATACGTCCTGCTACCTAGTCAGAAAATGTGACTGCTCTGGCTACTGCAGTGCTATGCCACTAAAAGAATCTGCCTCTTCATCTAGTGCTTTGAGGACAATTTGAGACCAAAATCTATCTCTAACTGAAATAACAGGCTGTGTTCAACCCAGAAGTGGCAAATTATTCCTTCAGTTTAGGTGATCCATAGGAAATAAGCACTTTGCCTTCAGTCCGAGTGCCCTCTGCTTAATACTCTGTTGTCTATCCAAATTGCATCATCAAAATAAATCTTCAAGTACCGTCTGATTAATCTTCTAAGATATGTGCAAAGATGTACCTTTATCTGCTATTTGGTTTGTAGGTACAAGAACTGTATCACAAAGGCTTCTACTAAATACCACCAAGCACAAAGAGAGATTGATCTCAAGCACCTCAACCCCTTCAAAGGTTATGAACCAAAGCAGTGGACCTGAAATGTTAATACTTTAGTCCTCGTTAATACTCTTTTTCTTGAATTTTTTCAGCCCATATTCATTTTCACACAAAGCCAAGAACTCAGGTTCTTATACCCATCCTTTCTTCCAAACAATTATAGAGAAAGGATCCTCAGGTTACTTCTGTAACCTGTGGACTTGCTAAGACAACTGCCCATGGCCACTGCTTGTTTCAGATGAGTACTTTGATATGAACTTTAAGACAACTTCAGAATTTACAGTAATCAGACACACAGACACACAGATTACTAATTTTAGTTTCCCTAATTTATAGTGCCCAAGCTTCTTAGGGTGTTCAGATACTTTTGCTCATTAACTACCTGAAAAAGCTTTGTGATTAGGAGGAATGCATCTTCCTGTATCAGATACTTCCATAATAGTCACACCATTCTGTAACTCACACCACAGAGTAAATTTAGCTCTTAACTGTACCAGTACAATATATTTTCTCAAATGAATATGCTGACTGAACATGTAATGCACACGATTTTTCTTCTTTTGACAAAGACAGAGCAAGTCCTATTTTTTTTTTTTTGAAAACTCTGTTTTTCAGCCATATATTTATGTTTTCTGTAAAGTTATGTTCAGATAACAGCTTGCATTTAATTAATAAGAAAATCCCATTCCATCTCCATCTTCACATTCTTTGTCGGGCCTTGTGGCTGCAGTATGCCTTCTTGCTGGAGGACATTTCACTGTGTGCACAGCGTGCGTGTGCTCTAATTTCTACTTCCCCATCATGCACCACAACATGAAGAAAGCAGTGACTGGAGGGACGTGAACTTATCAGTCATTGTCAGGAGCTGGTGGTGACAGTAGGAAAACTAACAGCCCAGAAATCTCTTAAACACTGAAGTGCAAGAGAAGAAAATAATCAAAATAAAATAGGGTTGCAGACATGAAAGAGCAAAGACTGCTTTTAAAAGTATATGGATACTTTATTTGCACAAAAATAGATGTTGCAGGAATGCCATGTGTTTGTAGGCATGGAAATAATTAATTGATAAACTGGCATTATTCAGTGTTCAAAGACATTCTTTCAAAGTTTTGTGAACTACACAATCAAATATTATGTATTGAAAAATCTTCCTTTATGTGTTTCTTCATGTCGCTGTCTAGTAGGGTTTCTTTCAGGCGTATATACTCTCTTACAAATTATTCTAAAAATATTTAAAATATTATCTTGAAAAGTTCACTCTCAGCAGTGTTTTAGAAGAATATGCAAATATACTTGTCTTCACTATTCTGAATTCTCAGGGTCTAATCGTCTATTCTTTCACTTACTTCAAGTAAACTGACAATACTTTCTAAAAAGAATTAAATTAAATTTTCTGCTGAAAATTGAGGTGTGTGATATTGTTGGAGCTGGATATAGAGCTCTTTAGAATAGTGCAAGAATGGAGACTACTCTCACAGTAGTTCAGTGGTATCCTATTATTAAAAAAAAATCTGTTACAGACTTTTAAGCAAATTTAGGGTTCCTTAAAGGTAAGTCATCACAAAGCAACTAAATCATACAGTGAAACTCTGCTCATTGCCCCAGGGCTCTAACTAAACTATTTGTCTTGCGGTAGCAGAACTTGTGGACTGGGGGAAGAGCTGTGCATTCCCCTCCAGGAGGGGATGTCAAAAAACAAGTTAGACTGTACACATAAGCAGTGAGAGTCTATACAGGTTGTTTCCGTGCAAAGAAAAGTGCAAGGCACTTCCTGGGAGCCTTTTTGCAGCTTCAAACTTATTTCCACGACCCTGATGCGTCAGGGATGGGAAGTAGTAAACCATCACCCCCACCCCTGGAGTACATCATCATATTTTTAATATCCTTATGTGCACACACTGACCCACCTCAATTCCTACTTTTGCTCTTCTGCACTGCTCTCTATCTTTGCCGGCTAAAACAAAATGAAAGAAAATCCCATAGCTGCCCCTACATTTTACTTTTAAACAAGCCTAAGCCTGTCTTCAATTCCTAACTCACCCAAGCCATGGTGTAGTGCTTGCTTGGGATGAGTTCTGGCACTCAGGAGCTCAGCGAGGGTGAAACCTTATACACAAGCACTGGGGGATCATTCAATGTACACTGGTGCTTTGAAAGTAGCAGACGGATTTGTTCCCATCACCATCTCATCTTGGCTTCATCAGCCAAATCTGCAGCTGGATATGCACAGGGCTTTGCAGTACCATCTGGCCAATTTTAGCAAGAGGTTTCATCTCATTCTGCTTAGCCAAGGGGCACCACACACTGTAGCAAGGTGCTACAGGAGAAGAGAGAGAGTAGAGACAGGAGAGGGTTGGAAATGTGGAGCCATCTCTTTAAGTGGCTCTGTGCTCAGCCAAGGGAAGTCTCCTGCATTTTGGGTGAAAACTCAGTTGCCTTCAGGACTACTCCATATCATCCTATTTCTCCAAACAGCCTGAGACACTGCAATCATTCTACACAGGAGCCCAACCCCAGCAGCTGAGCAAATACAGGGCAAGATTTATCCCTCCATAATCAGGGATAAAGCAGCACACCTTTCAGTCTTTTCATTTACTTTTTTTGTTAAGGCTTTGTATTAAATCCTTACACAATGTCAGTCATGTAAAACTTCACTGTAGCATCTCCCGTTAAGTCTTCACTGATATGTGGGGAGGAACAACTAAGCTCCAAACAGATTTTGAAGCATTTTACTTAGGTGAGAGTGGCTTACTGCAGTTCTAATGTATTCATCTCATATTCTGAGCTTTACGTCAGAGCGACAAAATAAATAGTTTCAGAAAACCATTTTTCAGTAATTCTCACAAACCAGAAAACCTCAGCAATGGTCCAGCTGAATTTTTTTTTTCCTCATAGAAAAGTGTAGTTCCTCAGAAATATGTGTCAACCATCAATGCAACACGTAGATAAAAAAAATCTGAGTATTTCACTATTTGCACTTGTCTATATTTAGTATTAACATAAAATAGAGTGAATGAGAATAGACAGTCAATTTGTTTTACACATAAACACTTTTGGAAAATACAGTTGCATTACCAACAATGCTTAACTTATTATTCTAAATGGATTTTGTAAATTGCTCTCCTTAACATACTACCACAATTTTTATAAATTGCTCTATTAGCACAATTTATGGAAATTGTGTCGTGCAGATTGTTAGTAAATTGAGCCTGTTTTTATCATTTATTTCCATTCTTCTTTGCCAGGGCACAATTCAGCAGAAATACAAGGATCAGATTCTTCTCTCAGCTACACCAGATAGTTTCTGAATTACTCCACTAGACTCACTTTTAAGAAAGTGAATCTAGATTGTGATTTTCCACGTTGCAAATCCCATGAAAGAAAAAAAGATTCTTCAAAATGTTTCTGCAGCTGAGCTGAAATTAATTTAGCCATTACTAACAGGATGCTCAAATATGTCTTTTTTCTCTTACCACAGCATTAGGCTAGACAGTAAATTCTAATTTCATGAAAAATAATGTGGTTAAATTGCCCATGCAATTATTGTCATTTGACCAAGTTTTGAGTAAATTATGAATGCTGGGGAGAAAAAGCATGCCTAAGAAATTAGCAAAGTGTGTAGAAAAGGCAAAGACAATTAACAAAAATGTGGAAATTATCTTCACTCTAGGCTGACTTCCAAAAAATCTGGTAGCAATTCCCCATTGCACACAAACCTGACTGAAACTCCTTTCATTAGACTTTTTTCTCTATCTTAAACAGTATGGGCCACATTTTTGAAGACATGCATTCCAGAGGATACGGCATAGCATTGCAAACAACTTAATCCCAAATATTTGGAAAATGTGGGGCTAGATCTTGAGTGCTTTCAAAGAACAGAAGGAATCTCTTGGGGTCTTCAATAAGTTTTATGCCAAAGCTTTAATATTTCCAGTCTTAGGAAAATATCCTGGGATGTCCGAAGAAAAACTGCAAATCACTTTAATGTTTGGAGGATCTAAGGAATAAAGATCATGTATAAACTGAAAGAATATGAGGGAGAGATAGTGACCCCATAGAGGACAGGGATGATTCTGCCTTTTCAATCTCCAAGGTCTCAGAGAGGTAGCAACAGGCTTGACAGCAGAGAGAAATAAATGTCCCCATCCATTCCGTCCATAAGAGGCATTTCATGGAGGATAGGTACAGGAAGTCAGCCTTGTCAGGAAAGGTTACTAGAGGTGCTGGAAGTTAGAGGCTTTGGGGAATGGGTTATTACATGAGGAGACAGCACAGAGATGCTGCCAAAAGCACCCTGTCCCAACCAGCAGTAGGGCAGAGGAAAGTAGGA